GAAAGAAAGAAAGAAAGAAAGAAAGAAAGAAAGAAAGAAAGAAAGAAAGGAGAGAGGGAGGGAGGGAGGGAGGAAAGAAGGGAGGGAGGGAGGAAGGAAGGAAGGAAGGAAGGAAGGAAGGAAGGAAGGAAGGAAGGAAAGAAGGAAAGAAGGAAGGAGGGAAGGAAGGAAGGAAACTTACTTGGCATGATGACCAGTCTAGTCCCACTTCCAAAGAAAATCTTATCATTTCCAGTGTTAGACACAGTGCTTTCTGCCTTCGCAAAAACATGACTTCCTATTTCTATCAGCCAGCATAACTTCCTTTAGAAAAGGTAAATGCCCAAGACTGACTTCTTAGAGATCAAAAGTTTCATTTGGACATCTGTACCTATCAAATACTGTCACTAGGGCTCTAGTTTCTTTTTCAGAGGTTTTCAATGGCCACTCCCTGCCATTTTCTATCCCGTATTTTAAAGGATTTCCAGATGCTTATTGGCTCATTCAATTTGTTCAGGAAATGCTCCTATAGAGTTTGTTTTGGGGGGGGGGGTTCTTCCTCTTCCTTCCCCCTCCTCTCCCTCTCTCTCTCCTCTCCCATCCCTCCATCTCTCCCTCTCCTTCCTCCTTTCCTCCCTCCCTCCCTATTTCCCTCTCCCGCTCTCTCCCCCTCTATCTCCTCTCTCCCGCCCTTCTTCTCCCTCCTTGCCCTCCATCTCCTCTCTCCTGCTCTTCCTCTCCCTCTCCCTCCCCCTCTCTCTGTCCTCCTCTTTCTCTTCTCTTTCCTTCCCTCCTTCTCTCCTTTCCCTCTCCCTCCCTTCCTCTCTGCCTCTCCGTCATCCCTCCTCTCCTTCTCCTCCCTACCTCTCTCCCTCTCTTCTCTTCCTCCCTTCCATTCTCTCTCCTCCCTCCCTCCCCCTCTCTGCCCCCCTCTTCCTCTCCTCCCTCCCTCTTTCTCTCCCTTTCCCTCTTCCTCTTCTTTCTTCCCTAACTCCCTCCCTTCCTCTCTCCCTTTCCCTTCTTCTCTCTCTCATCTTTCCTGCCCTCCTCTCTCTCCCCCAATCTCATAGTCTAAGAAAAGACATTTCAGGACATTTCTGACATTTTACATTTTTTGTATTTGAAATTGCCCTGAATGTCTAGCATTAAATTTTGCAAATAGTATCACTGCCTTGGGACTTTGGCCTAGGAAAGACCTATTTTAAACGTGAACAGGGGAGAGAAATGCACTGGACAGACTTACAGGGTAAGATCTGAAGCTTTCCCCAAATCCAACATTAACCCTGGTTCTGTCATTTGCATGGTAGCCTTTCCTCGAACATCAACACTTGCAGGGATACAACTGGGATCATCCCCACCCAGAGAAAGTCCTCTGCAAAAAGACAGATCAAGGATGAGGTGAAGTTCCCAATGATTTCCCAGCTCATCTGGTTGGGTTTGCAACTGTGATACAAACAATTCAACATTGTCCAATGAACAGCAAGACCCTGGACCTGTTATAATAACAGCAGCCACACTTACATCTTCATAATCACATAATTGCTTTCTCATCAAATAGCTCCATAATTAAAATATAAACTTGTGCCTTTAAAACTTCTAGTTCAAATATGACTTGGAATAAGGTCAACCTGCTTCTCTTACACCTAACTTTGTCCAACCCGCCCCCACCCCACCCCACCCAAAAAATCAGGATACTAAAAACTACAAGAAGAACATCTCATTCTACTAACAACTGAACTACCAACAGTGAAACTGTCCAGTTTCTCCTTAATTCTATGTGCTAAATCCACTATTTTAAGAGTTGTACATGTGTGCAAACTCACATGCATTTTGATATATTTGTTCTCTTGGCACGCACTGGGATTCACTTTCTAACTCACCCGATTCCCTAATGGGACTGGTGGCTACTGGAATTTGGTTTGAAATTATCCCTTTGCAAAAATGACAGATGGAAGTCTATGGAGATTCTCAGTCATCCAGGTCATGGCTTTCCCTTTTTCAAGAGGCAACTTCATAAATGCATCAGGATTAGATTCAACAGTCCACCTGCATTTAAAAGACACTGGCCACTCTTTTGAGGACCACTAAGTCCACGTTTTAGACAGAGAGAGCTGGTGTGAAAGAGGATCCATGAGGCCATCTATGTCAAAATTGAGCAGCCCTCTCTCAACAATGGGGGAGGGATACAACATCATCTGTCTCCATTCTACAACACAGTCCTTTCAAGTTCCAAGAAGGCTGCACATTTGCATTACTCAGGTGACTCTGATGCCACAGATAAATCTCCAAGTAGCCTCAACAACTCTCTAAATGAATGCAAATGACCAACTGTTTGCAAGGAATATAAATCCTTCCGTTCCCCACCATACAGTCAGAGATGAAGAAGCTTCTTGGATGAGAAGCAAAACATCTTCAAAGAAAAACCAGAAAGTCCAGTTGCCTCTTGGAAAAAAAAGAACCTTTGGGACATGACAGATGGAAACTATTATGTGTTTCTTGCTCTGTCCTTTGTCCCATTGTCAGCTGCACATCGCCATTTGTATAAACCGCTCAACCATTTGAGCTGTAAAGAAAACCCATCCCTTAAAATTTTGACATAGTTCTTTAGTTTAAGTTATTTGCTGAGAAGGATTCACAAACTGGAATTGAATATTTTAATCCTTTGTCGGTCGTAATACATGGTTAGAATTAAAGTACAGGTAGCCCTTGCCTTACAACAGTTTGCGTAGTCAGCATTCAGTGTTACAACGGCATTGGAGAAGGTGACTTATGACCGTTTTTTCACAGTTACAACCTTTGCGGCATCCTCATGGTCACATGATCCAAATTCATACATTTGGCAACTGGTTCATATTTATGACCATTGCTGGATCCTGGGTTCATGTTATCTCTTTTTGCAACCTTCTGACAAGCAAAATCAATGGGGAAGCCAGATTCACTTAACAACCATGTTGCTAACTTGTCAACTGCAGGAATTCACTTAACAATAGCGACAAGAAAGGATGCAAAATAGAGTAAAACTCACTTAACAACAGGAATTTGGAGCTCAATTACAGTCGTAGGTCAAGGATTACCTTCCTGCCAAGCAGTTCTGAATATCTTTACAATCCATTATTTTTGTCTCCCTTCTTCATCGTTTCATAATTATTCCTTTTCATTTTCAATTATTTTAGGCAAAGTTTTCTATGAGATCCTACCATAATTCAGACATAGGATATAGGCAAGACCTACCTGGTTTTACTGTTAATTCTGTTCCTTTTCCAAACTGAACAAGGAACTTCCTATTTGTTAATACCACTGTCAGTGAAGGCTTTACAAAATTGTACGCCTCTGCTATCACAACTGGATCCCTTCTGTTTTTTTTGGTCTTCCTTCAGATTTTGAGCTTAAGACTATGTAATTTGGGACAGAACTACAGGTAGTCTTTGTTTAACTATCACAACTGGGACTGGTGATTCAGTCATTAAGTGAAGCAGTTGCTAAATGAAACCATAACCGGGCTTATGATTTTACTTCAGCTTTTCCTTTGCTTTACAGGTCATAAATGGTGGGAAGGGATTGTAAAGTTATTTTTTTCTTCACTGTTGTAACTGCCAGGGGTCACTAAATGAGGTAGCTACTAAATGGGGACTTCCTGTAAATCTAGTCATTTTAAGAACAAGTTTAATAAAATAACAATGCTTAACTTACTGTTTTTATTCTAATTATCATTGAATTGAATTGTTAAATTGTTAAACTGTTGAATTGTTGAATTATTGAATTGTCGAATTCATGACATCCATAGAGATCAAACAATGAAGATGGTAGCCATAACTTTTCAATAGAATCTCATCTCAATTTATGTGTGCCATATACATATAAAATCTAAACATACCTATAAAGGTGGAGAGTGCTTAATTGCACAATGACACTTTCACATTTACAATCTCTTCTCTTTTTTTGATCCTGCCCATTTATTCATCTTGCTTTGAGTCATAGAGGATAATTTAGCTAAAGTTAATCACCACTATTTTTTAGAAGATTAAGAAGATATTCTTTCCTTGATACTGTAAAGAAGAGAGGAATCCAGGTTCCTATATCTTTTTCTCTCTCTTTTGTACTTTTCTGTTATTCTTTTCCTTGACAAGCTAAGACTGTCCAATGATTAAACATTATTCTTTTGAAAACATAAAGTAATGATTAAGACATTAAATGTTGGTGGCTTTTAACTATGAAAATATATTAGTTTCAGGAGGGTTATGACACCTATTAATAGATAGAACTAATCAACGGTTATGTCCTTTTTATAACAAGTTTTGATCTCTGTCACTCATTTCCCTGTTACAAATTTTATGGCAAAGAAAGAAATATCTATTTTTCTTTCAATAAGAACATTCTAAATAAAACATGGAGCAGAAGTATCCTAATTCAATACAACTGTAAGGGAATAAATAAACGTTGTTCCCGGAATAGAGGAAATGGGTTAAATATAGAATTAGTCTAATTAAGTCAACTTCAGGATTTGATCTTTTATCTATTGTTTCTTCTGGAGGGAAGAGAAAGAGACAACATGGAAAGAGGACTGTGGCAAATTATCTGTCAAGCCATTGGAATGATGGTTCTTGAAATGTGTAATGTTTGGAGTAAGCGTACATCTTATTATGCCAATTCCTAATTGATTTAAAAATAAAATGAATGCAATTAATTAGATCAAGATTCCATAAATCAAATATAATTAATAATCAAGGACTCTGACTCACTGACTCTAAAATTTCCTCCATCTCTTCTGCCTTATGTCCAAATAATATATTATATCACTTTTGCAAATGCAAATACATAGGTCAAATGACACCTTGACAATTCAAAGTTTGCCCTTGATATCAATTGATAGTTTTCTTTATCTGTTTATTGCTTCACATATATTATAGCCACTCACTCTAATGGGCTCTAATTAGTTTGTGTTCTTGCTAAGAAATGTCTACATCGTATTTGATGGAGTTCTGAGAATTTAAATCCACAAGACATCCCAAATGTGCAAAACCCTAATTCTAAGGAAAACAAACAAGGCTAAGAAGACAAGGAGTACTGAGATGGAAGAAGCACATTTTCTCAAAGTGGTAGAAAGTAATAAAAGCTTCATTTAATTGGATCTCAATCAACTTCAACCTGGGACCACCAGCTGAATGGGCTGGTGAGTCTTATCTGGTAATTCCCATCTAATAGCCTATGTGGACGAGACCAGGTTAGAGAAGATACTCACAGATAAGGACACCTCATTGAATTTGGTACAACTTGCTCTCAAGTAGTTGTATATTGGATTGTAGTTGAGGTCCTTGAATGTCTTGTAAGTGTTCTTCTCCACTCAACTCTCTGCAAGTTTTTGATCTGTTTCTCTTCTGCTCCTTCCCACTGTGTTTCTCACAGCACAGAAGTAGATAGCTGAATCATTCAGTTGGCTGACTGATTTCTTCATGTGGAAAGTCATTCCCACTTTATTATGGATGGCGGTGAAGTTTTGAGGGAGGCTAATGTCTACATTAGGTGTCAAAAAAGTGCTCTGAAAAAGCTTAGGTGGTTGTCCAAGATATTGAATGTACCAGAATGGACTTGGTTGATAATCTATGCCTTTGGAATAAGTGCAATTGAGAAATATAGGTTGTCCTTCTGTGAAGGTCACCCTGCCTTCTGTTTGGGTCACGGTCTGTCCTGAAATATTTTCTGTAGGGAAAAAATAATAATGGATATGGTTGGTGGAATAGGTGACTCTTTATTAAAGTTGATTTTTATAGCATCTGAAAATCTGTAGAACAATTTTATTTTACATAGTAGCTCCACACAATGTGAATATACATTTGATTGTTTATTTTATAGACCCCCTATCCCACTATCCAAAGTGACCTGGACCACTTACAATGCCCAAATTGTTCTTCTCTCCAGCAGACAACGTAAGTCACCTTACATGAATATTCTTAGATCCTTGTGGGAAATGCCATGAATCATATCCACTCATAAATTCAGAACAGAATAACAGATTAACAGTTGGAAGGGAACTTGGAGGTATTCTAGTCCAAACACCTGCTCAGGCAGGAAATCCTATACTATTTCAGACAAATGGTTGTCCATTCTCTTCTTTAAAATTCCAGTGTTGTAGCACCCACAATTTCTGAAGGCAATTTGTTCAACTACTTGATTGTTCTCACCATTAGGAAATTTCTCCTTAGTTCTTGGTTGCTTCTCCGTTTGATTAGTTTTTACCCATTGTTTCTTGTCCTGCCTTCAGGTGCTTTGGAAAATAGGTTGATACCCCCCCTCTTTTTTGTGGCAGCCTCTTAAATATTGGAACCCTGCTATCGTGTCACCTCTAGTCCTTTAACAAACGTTTAATGTGCATGCTCCTGAACCGTAGGCACTGACTTCAAGTTATCAAGACAAAAAATAAAATAAATCAGCCATCACTTACTCAAGACTTAGTTTGCACTCAATAAAAATATGTAAGCACTAGACTTATTTATATACTTTTTAAAGAGGTGTCTGGATGGGGTGGGGGGGCAGAGAGAGAATAAATTATTTTCACTTACCTAAGATTAAGAGCACCAATGACCATGAAAGAAACATCTTGCTTGATCTAGCAGAGAAGAAGTTAAGAAGAGATGCAGAAGCAAAGCAAAGCAACCTAATTTCATTGGCCTCTGAGATTTGCACTATGAAACTTATGTAATGCAGCTAAACTTTTTTTGTTAAGCAATTCAAAAGAAATCTTCTAATGGTTGAACCTCATAGGATGTGGTTAGTGGTCAGAATGCTTCTGTGAGCTGTAGAAAAGTTTTCATTTTACATTTATACAGTAACTAGTTCACCCTGTGAGTGGAAACAACCTGACAACTACACCTTGTGCTTAAAAATGGCATAGCATTGTGATTTTCAAGCCAGAAGTGATGAAGCTATTGAAACATCCCTCATTTTTCACTGGGTGCTTTGACTACCAAACAGAGTTTTGTACCTGGAAAGATGGACTTTTGATACTGAAGCATGGATCTTTTCTTTAGAAGGTCAAACTTCATAATTCAAGATGTTCCAGGAGATAAGAACCATTTATATCATATTTAGATCCTCAAAAAGGTATGCAAAAGTCCATACATATATCAAAGATTGGAAAAGTCCAGTCAACTAGGCAACACCAAGACAGGAACTAAAACTGAGAGTCCCTGGTACCATTTTTAAAGCATTTAAGGAAAAGAGATGGAAGGCACAAATCTTGGCTGCTGAATGTAGTATGTGGATGTTCCCTTAAGTGAAGAAAGCCTGGGTGGAGAAGCAGAGAATGAAAACCTACAGGAATGGCACAAAAGTTGAGACTAAAATTGTAGTGTACTTCTCAGAATAATATACTAACAGAGTTGGAAGTGACCTTGAAGGTCTTCTACTCCAACCCACTGGTCAAGCAGGAAATTATGTACCATTTCAGACAAATGTCTGTCTAATTTCTTTTTAAAAGCTTCCAGTGTTGGAACTTTTACAACTTCTGGAGGCAAGCCGTTCCACTGATTAATTGTTCTAAACCGTTAGGAAATTTCTCCTTAATTCTAAATTGCTAAATTCTAAATTACTCCTTAGTTCTAGATTGTTTCTCTCCTTAATTAGTTTCCATCCATTGCTTCTTGTCTTGCCTTCAGGTGCTTTGGAGAATAGGTTGATTCCCTGTTCCTTGTGGCAGCCCTTGAGATATTGGAACATTGATTTATTATATCATTCCTAGTCCTTCTTTTCATTAAATTAGAATGCCCAATTCCAGCAACTGCTCCAGTCCCCTAATCATCTTTGTTGCTCTTCTCTGTACCCTTTCTAAAGTCTCAACATATTTTTACATTGTGGCAACCAAAGCTGGATGCAGCATTCCAAGTGTGGTCCTACCCAGGCATTATCAAATTGTACTATAGGAAGATAACAGAACTTATGGACATGACTTGCTTTCTTTGGGCAAGTTCAGTGGAAATTAATTATAGGAATCAGAGTTTTACTGAATGTGAGAACCAGAGACCAAAAATAATGGCCTTTGGACAAGTAGAGGCTAAATAGCCATTGGACTTGGATGTTTTAATTTAGATTTCTGCATTAAGCAGAATGTTAGAGTCCATGATCTAAATGGACCCTTCCAATGCTATGATTCTAGAGTTTTTCTGCTTTACAATTTTTCAGTAATTGTACTATGCAATCCATAATTTGCGTATGGTATATTTCTCCTTCAATAACTCTCTTGCTCTCTTTTTTTATTCATTATTTGATGTTTTTGCAATATTTTTCCTTTTTTTTTAAACAATAACTCCCTTTCAAATGCATTGGTCTGGATTCACAGTCCTCTTTCATGCAACACATAGAGAAGATTGATAAATCAAAACATCAGGGTGGATAGATGTAGACTGATTAGATGAAAACAAATACGTTTCAGTTAATAAGGTTCAGCTGTGTTGCCTTCCTTTTGACTAGGGAGAGTTGAAGAATGTTTGGGACGTGAACTTCAGGGAGTCCCAAAGTCTCCACATTAAAGGCAGATGTGGAGATTTAGACCACAATTGGCACTAATATATCTTCCACCTGTTGAGCACTTTCAAAAAATTACCAATCAAAGAAGAAAAAATCATTTCCTCCCCCCCCCCCCCCCCATCTGATGGCCTTCAGATACATTGGACTTGAAATGTGTGAAAGAGAAACAATGAGGTTTGTTGGGATTTTCACTTTATAGTTTAGAGCAGGGGTCCCCAACCACCGGTCCGCGGACCGGTACCGGTCCGTGGAACAAGTCCTACCGGGCCACTGGTTTGCTGGGCGCCGCCATCTTTTTTTGATGAAAAAGTGCTTCCAGTGAGCTTTCTACCCGGAAAAGTTCACCGGAAGCACTTTTTCATCAAAAAAAGATGGCGGCGCCCAGCTAATGCCGGTACCGGGCCGCGCCATTAAAAAGGTTGGGGATACCGGGCTACGGCATAAGAAAGGTTGGGGATCACTGGTTTAGAGCCAAAGAAGAACAGAAGAGAGATCTTTCAGAAGGAGAAATAATTAAGAATAGCAATATGAAAATGGGAATGGTTTTTCCACTTAACCCATCAATAATGAAGACGTTGCTAATCTGATGTATGCATAAAACATCAATATCCAACAGGGAGCAGAGATTTTAAATATTGTTTACATTTTTCCAGTTTAATTTCTTTAAACTGAAGGGGTCTTTGGGGGGTCTTTGGTGATCCCTGAGTTTGCTTGTTTTCTTGCAGACATTTCATTACACAAACTAAGTAACATCATCCATGCTAGTAGTCTCCTAGTAGTTACCAGTCCTGATGATGTTACCTAGTTTAGTTAATGAAACATCTGCAAGAAAACAAGCAAGCTCAGGGATTACCAAAGATCCTTCATTTCAACCCTGATATACAAATATTCTCATTTAAATAGTTATTTATTAATTAGTTTTGCAAAGACTAAGCAGAAAAATAGATTCTTATAACTAACAAAAAACCAGCATATTTTTTACCTTTCCTTCCTTCCAATGCATTTTGTCATTTAATTAGGAGATGAAAGAAAGAAAAGAAAGAAAGAAAGAAAGAAAGAAAGAAAGAAAGAAAGAAAGAAA